GACGGTAGATAAAACCTCCTGGCTGACACATAATGGCACATGAGTAGTTCTTTATTTGAGGATACTATGGTACCCATTATAGACTAAGAGTCTATCCTCCTTTTGGGGTATAGTAGTTTATATAAGGAATATAATCTTACTAGGTTCAACCACCAAAAAAACACTATTCACATGATGGCAGCAGGTTGGGTGTCAAGGGATTCAGGGTTGCGCCCCTTCAGATTGTACCCATATGCTGCAATCCCCCCAAACTATTTCCAATACATCCCAGGTATTCCCTCAAGAGCACCGTAGAATCCCCTGGCCTTTGTAGTAACCCCAAACTTCTCCATGGGTACAACCATAAGGAGCAACCCAAAACCCCCGGAAGTTGAAGTTGCTCACGGTTTGAGGTTTAAGGTTTAGGGTTTAAGGGTTTAGGGTTTGAGGTTTAGGGTGTAGGGTTTAGGGATTTAGGGTTTGAGGTTTAAGGTGTAGGGTTTAGGGTGCAGAGGCATGGAGAGCTCCCAAATACAGCGGGCGTGGTGGTTCAGGGTTTCTGTGTTCTGTGTTATCTTGAACCGCTTGTTTTCTTAACCTTTGTGCCTAGATGCTGAGATCCTAGGGTTCTTCGCGACACGCAACTTATGAGTCTGGAAGCTCAAGTGCTAGCCCAACATGGAAACTACTATATAGTATATTGGGGTTAGATTAGGGATAATGGAAAAGAAAATGGAAACTACTATATAGCATATTGGGGTTATATAAGGGATAATGGAAAAGAAAATGGAAACTACTATATAGCATATTGGGGTTTTATAGGGGATGATGCCAAACAGACGTTCCCAATGTGTAGGGTCTTTCTTCCACTGGCTCCTACTTCAGGGTGAATGTCCATGAAATCATGGGATGCGTGCGCTTCAAGAGCAGGGCTGGTAACGGGCTCGTGTCTTGGTCCGAGGGACCAAGCTCCATACTGTGCACACATGCCCATAACTCTGCAACATCCCTATACGGTAGTTTCCCGAAATGAGAGGACTCCAATGTAGACCCAAACATATTATGATCCTTATTATTATAGGGACCCCCAAAATGGTACCCCTAACTTTTGGGGAAACCACCAAAACCCTAAACTGTAAACCCTCAAATAGTAGCTTCCTTTTCTTTTCCATTATCCTTGTAGAGCCCCTGTACCCCTAATTTTGGGAAACCCCCCTAAACCCTATATAGCCCTATAGAATCCCTGTATAACGCCTCTAAAGGGTACCTCTAATTTTGGGAAACCCTAATCCCTATAATCCCCTATATAAACACAGCTTCCATTTCATTTTCCATGTTCTTTTCTATTTGATTCTCCATTATAGTAGGTACCCCTAACGTTGGGACACCCCTAAACCCTAAACCCCTATATACCCCCATATAACCCCCATATAACCCTAAACCCTGAACCCTAAACCCCTTATAGTGGGTAGTGGAGAAATGACCCCATAAAAAAAAGACTTACGGTAGGTACCCTCTTTATGTAGCGCCATCCTGAGGTCAGGTTCCTTTCCCCCACTGAAGTTCCTCAATGCGGAGACCCCGCCAAACTCCTAGGGTTTAGGGTTTAGGGTTTGGGGTTTAGGGTTTTAGGATTTTGGGTTTAGGGTTTGGGCCCTAGGGTTTAGGGTTTAGTGCCTAACAGCAAGGTTTCAAGACTTTCTCCGACCTCCTGGCTGAGGGGCCAAAGCATTCTTGCCCCCTGCATGCGGGAGTTTTTCAAAACATTCCCTGATATCATCTCAAAGAAGGAGGACCCCGACAATCCCGTTACAATCCCCATACATCCCTAGGTTCGAGAGCGACCCCCATTTTGAGAAATTCCCATGTGACACAGCACTTCCAAATTGCCGTTTCCGGAAAGAAAATGGTGCTGGCTACCTATATCGGGAAGTATCCTGTTTGGTGTATGGGCCGGGCTACCTGTTGGAAAGTACCACAGCCCAGTAGCAGCGGATGTCCTTTGAAAAGAAGCAGGGTGTCATGCTGAGTTCTTTGCAGCCCGGCATGAAGCCACCTCATATGGTTCGGGAATTCCGGTGGACTAGTTGAGTTTGGAAGTCCTGGCGGTACACTATGCGTTTCACCCCTCACTCCCATACTCGTCACCCTACTGCCATATGAAGAAGCTTCCGGAAGGAGCTCACCAGTGCAGGCTTGCAATTCTCATCCACATTCTTGATTATGTGGTACCCCAGCCTCCAACATGACTACCCTAGAACATTCGTTCGCTACTCACACTTTGTTTATTCGATGCTCAAGCTCATATCTGTATTGCAACCACGCCCGTTTCAGCATATGGTCTTCTCACAGGGGGGCTATCATAGGGTAGACGCCCTCAAGTAGTAACCCTCCACGCCAAACCCAGAACCCTCAACCCCAAACCCTGAACCCTAAACCCTAATCTTGAATGGCAAGTGTGAGTGCGCTATTTGTTTCTTTATGCAGCTCAAAGTAGCTGTGCGTTCTGCGGTCGCCTACGAAGAAAGTCAGAGAATTACCCTACACCCTTTCAACCCTAAATCCCATAAACCCTCTAATAACAGCTTGAAGAGTTTATATGGATTGTAGGGTTCAAAACCCTATGAGACCTTTAAGCCTTTAAGCCCTAAAAGAGCTTGAAACCCTATAACCCTATAACCCTAAACCCTAAACCCTAAAACCTTTAAACCCTAAACCCTAACCCTCTGTCCTGCGGCATACATCATGGCCCTTCTGGCCATGGCCGAGCTTCCGAAAACGGAGGTCTAACATATCAAGGGCCTAACTAATAACGCGGTTTAGGGTTTAGGGTTTAGGGTAACTAATAGCCAATATTATAGCTTTTATATGGTAGTTTCCCTAAATAGGGGGACCCCAATATAGACCCCAAAATACTATAGTCCTAATTATTGGGGATCCCCAAACGGGTACCCCTAATTTTGGGAAACCCCCATATTCTCTGTAGAGTCTTTTTGGGCATGGCCTTCCTCATGTTTATGGAAAAAAGGGCCCCTTTTTTCTTCCTAAAGTAATGTAGACAATAGGGTTTAGGTTTTAGGGTCTAGGGCTTTATGCTTTAGAGCATATTATGGCTTTGTATTCCTTGTAGAATATTTGTACATGGGGTACCTCAGATAGACATCAACATGGAATTGGTATTTATACAGGCCGCTCCGGTAGACCCCTGTTTACTGTAGGGTCTATATGGTTTCCGGGTTTAGGGGTTTAGGGTTTAGGGTTTAGGGTCTGGGGTTTGGCTCCTTTACTACAGAGACTCCCAAGAAAGCGGCCCTGACCCTGGAAACTCCATGCAAAACCAAATTCACCGGGCTGAGACGTTTAAACCCCTAAATCCTAAACCCCTAACCCCTACAGTAAAACCTAAAGATGGTCATCCTGGCCACAGAATCTATACGGAACGGTGGAAGCAGATTTTTTGCAACACTTGAGCTATAGTCTAAACTCCTTGAAGGAGGTTATGTAGGGGGTTATTTAGGGTTTAGGGATGCGGGGGGTCTAAATGGTCTAAACTCCTTTAAGGCGACTATATACGGGTTATATAGGGGAGGATTATAGGGGTTATTCAGGGGGAGACTAGGAGTTTAGACTAGAGCTCATTTAGGACCTTGAATATGTTGTGACTCCTAAGCCACAGAGTACATCAGGTGGGGCAAGATTTCATTCACTGATGAAATGCTGAGGAGGGGGGCATCAATTTGATGTTCTTGGATGGATGGAGTTCCATCCCACAAAATATTGGGATCTACAGTGTTACAGAAGGAGTTTGACTACTGCAGGGGCACAAATACCATCATCATGGTTCTAATCATGGTATAAGGTATCTCGGTCTGAGAAACTAACATATACCCATGCGACGAGAACTTCGTTTAAAATCCGGGTAACTAGGCAGGGACTGCGCCCAAAGCGTAGAGCTTGAAGCACATAAGGGCTTTCCAAACAATAGCCTTATCTCTGGAAAGCCTCGTGTAATTAAGGAGGCCCCTTCTTTTGAGAACTTATCACTTCCCCTACTAATGACGATCCCCACTCCCCGACAATCAATACTGGCACTGTATTGGGGGAGTATGCATCATCAGGCGGGTGGGGCTGTTCATTATTACAGGGAGGGATTAGTTAGTGACTGGAGTGGAAGCAAGAGCAGCACCTATCTGATATCTAAAGGCTGGCTAGAAAGTCCTTGTTTCCATTGTACCCCTGAGGCGCCCGAGGGAACACAAATTTGAATAACTCCCAAGGCAGCTTTTGTTTTGACCGCGTCTTGTCACAACACCCGGTACCCCAGTTTGATACATCGTCGCGTTGCTCCCGTTCATTGATGAAGCTGTTTGCGCTCAGGCAGGTGGACATGATTTGAAGAGATTGCACATGGCTTGGTGCATCGCTAGGAGCGTACGCGGAAAGATTCTCATTCTGGTCAAAGTCCTCGCAGGAGCGCGCAGTAAAAAAAAACAATTCTTGGGGTTTAGGGTTTAGGGTTTAGGGTATCCACTCCACAAAATCTTCGGACCATGAGGAGGACACAGGCATCACCGGACAGCGCGGAAGCTTCAACGTATAGGCTCGCTGGCCATTGCGCTCAGTGGGGCTGTCAAATGAGTGGTATTTTATTTGGGGATGCTATGGTACACAATATAGAGTAAGATTATATCCTCCTCTGGGGTATAGTTTTTAATATAAGGAGTATAATCTTACTAGGTTTAACCACAAAAACAAACACTACTCAAATGCAATACAGCTGCAATTTTCCTTTTGATTTCTCATGCGAATCTCCACTATCGGGGCAATATTCCTAAACCGTCCACCCCCTATGTCCTTATCTAACCCACCCTTTATGTCCCCTTTAAAGGGACCTGGTCGCAATGTCAAAGCTGCAGCTCTCGCACAAGCTTGCCCTGAATGAGAGGGCAGCAGACCAATGCATCACGTTTCAAGCAAGCACCTGTGTCGGCCCGCATGGAGTTGACATTGACTTGCTCAACATGTCTGGGATTTCTGCAGATGACTGCTGCAGTGCATGCAGTGCTCTTGTTGCTTGCAGAGGTTGGACCTTCAAGTCGGGTATCTGCTCGCTGAAGCGCCTTTGTCCTCTGACAGACTGGCCACCTGATCTTGCAAGCACAGCAGGGGCTTCGCCATCTCCGCCGGCGCCCGCCATACCCCAGAGGTGCAGAGACTCCAATGCGCAAAGCCACGGGTGGCCCAGGTTCAGTAGCCAAACCGAACTGAGAGCCTCTAAGTGGGCTGCATACTTCGAACGTGTTTATGGCGAAGTTCCAGAAGCAGGATATCCCATCTGCACTTGGGATTTCTGGTACTTGGACAGGGGTAGCTATGAGCATGCTGGCATCGAGGGACACCCGGTAAAGTCCGTGAGTGACTGGCTACACGGTATGGGCCATGTGGATGTTGGTGACTTGTATGATGTGAATGTCACTGATGTAAGCAAGGGCACTTACAAAAACGGACTTTGGATCAACCACGTGACTGGGTTGCTGTTAAGGAAGTTTATTTAAGTTAGTATATTGGGGAAACCAGATTAATTACTATGCATACCCATTATGGTCAATCAATTTAAGTTCCTTAAATCCCATATTCTACCAGTTTGCAATTGTCCAGTTTCTTTTCCATTTGATTCTCCATTATTGGGGTATAATATAGCCCTAAACCCTAATCCCTCAACCCTAATCCCTAGACCCTAATCCCTAAACCCTAATCCAGGTGAAGGGAGGCTACGGAAGGCAAGGTTATGGAGCCGCTAAAGACCACCAGTGGATCGAAGTGCGCCACCAGGGCGGAGGGGTGACAGGTGACTGGGTTGGGTTTAGGGTTTAGGCTTTAGGGTAAGGAACTTGAATTAAGCTACCATAATTTAGGGGTTATATAGGGATAATGGAAAAGATAATGGAAACTACGATTTAGGGTTTAGCACTAAGGAACTTAAATTAAGATACCATAATGGGTCTACATAGTAATTAATTTGGTTCGCCCAATATAGTAACTCAGATCAAGTTCCTTAACAGCAACCCAGGTGAAGAAGTTGGCATGTGGTTTGTTTACGCCCCTGGTAGTGGTGTATGGTTCAACACAGGGCGCACACGCGTTTTTGAAACGCACGCCGTTGCAGCCGAGAAGTTGTGCGGTCGGCAGGTTGGGCCTAACGATGCAACTGAGATGGTCAGGTGTGCTGTAGAGGCTGGCAAGCTGGACAGCTTCCAATTGCAGTATGACTGGGACGTTCCTGAAAACATTGAGATTGTTGCTGTGAACTTGCAGGGCGTTTACCCATGTGGAGCCGCGACATCTGGGACGTCTGCTTCATTTCGTTCAGGCTGGATGGCAGCAAACCCGTGCGACTGTGACAACGATGCACCTCATGGCTTTTTGAACTGCAAGCCCGGCGAAACTTCTGTGAAAGGAAAGGACTTGACAAGACCAATCACCTTGTCCGCGCTCCCATCAACAGCAGCTTCTCTCATAGCAACACTGGTGGCAGCCGCCGTCTTGGGAGCATGCATCCTTTTCTGGGCATGTAGGCGTAGGCGTCAAGCAAGGCCAGATGGTCTTACTCCTGCAGTGGCAAGGCCAATGGACCCACGCCAGGAATGCTTGTTAAAAAGTGTAGGTTTATAGTCCCCCTTAAGTAGATAGAATATGGCTTTGGGTATATTATAATAAGATCCCCATACATCCCATATTAATATTCTATCTATTCAAGGGGGACTATAGGGTTTAGGGTTTAGGGTAGGCAGGGCTCAAGCAGGATTCTTGGCTAAGGGCTGGGAAGTACAGGGTTGGACAGCTTCAGGATGGGTCAGCTGCAGGATAACTTAGAATGTCAAAAAGATGTGAAGCGAGAGGCCATCCTTTTGTGTGAGCTGTTCAGGGTTCACTTTTTTTCATTGCTACAGCAGCTAGCGAAACACTTACTCCTTTGTATGTACTGTTTCATACGGCTGAAATCCGAACAGCTTCAGCATAGCTCCTAATTTCGCAGCGTTGAGATGATTGGTCGCCTCTTTCCAGGGCCCCGCGCTCGGCACACTATTCCTTATAAGAAACCTCGTGTCTTGGGGACATTCTTAACATCATGGGGGTGAGGGGATGTTTGATGGTAGGGGGAAAAGGTTCTGGGCTAAACACTAGCTGGTGCAAAATGAGAAGGTCACTCAAACGACGAGAGCGCCAGTGCCCAGGAAGTTGCTGCCTCTCGTTTTAGTAAAACCCCGGTCTCTGAGAGTCTGCGAGTATTTGAGCCATAGTCTAAACTCTTGTTATCCCACTTCATAAAACCCCAAGACTAGTCCCCTATATAATCCCCTATATAACCCCCCCTTAAGGAGTTTAGACTATAGCTCGTGTGTTGCCCAGTTGAGATGCCCGAACATCTAGTGCGCTTCACATTCGAGATGCATTCTGACATGTTGAGGAGTTCGTTGGCTTCAGCATATTGCAGTGCATCTCAGCGCGCTGGAAAAACACACGCTATTGGGGGATAGTTTGCCGTAGTCTGCAATAATATACTCCGGTAAACAGCGCTGGGTGATCTGTGCGAGCATGCTTGTGTACGTGAGAATATGTCGCGAAGCGCATGATATCCAGCTTGGGTGATGCCACCTCACGAGTAGCAAACATCAGAGACAATGTTAACATTCGGGTTGTTGTGATTTTTTTCTGGGCCACTGGGGACTACCAATTGCAGGCATGTTTCAATGCGAAGAACTGCAGATTGATTGTCTAGGCATATGAATTCCCAGTAATAGGAGTTTTTCTGGGTGTCCCAATCAACACGAAGAGCTACAGTATTCATAGGTATCCCTAAGGGTCCAAGGACCCAAATAATAGGGCTTCAGGGCCCAAGTACCTTGAATATTATAGTATTTGGGCTCTAAAACCCTATTATTTGGGTCCTTGGACCCTAAACCCTACCCTCCACCCAAAATCCTAAATCCTAAGCCCTAAACCTAAAACCCTGAACCAAAGTAGAACTGGCCTCTGT